GGGGGGGGGGGGGAAACTACAGCTGTGGACTGATGTGTGGCAGTAGGCAATACCTAGCAGTAAGCATCGAAATATTGAAGGGGATATTATCTGCAGTGGGAACATCAGGAGGAGATGGCATGTAGGCAGAATGTAACTGTCCAAGTTTGAGCAGGGCTGGCACTGCAGAAATACTACTCTTCTTTTTATACACCATGACTGAAATGGAGAAAGGGCCGATTCATTCTTTCTCTGCCTTTGCTCTCTCCTCCTCTTTAGCTCCTGTTATGGTCCTACAGGTGACCTTTGAGGTCAAAGAGCAAGTGGTCGCAAGAGATGGGGAGATACAGGAGTTTCAGTGGCTGTCCCAGGAAATGAGTGATGCAGGGAAGATTCATTCATCTCTTCAGGACAATGCATTACCTCCTATACTTTTGTTGTTTCCCCTGTGAGGTTTTCCCACGGGAGGGAATGAGCGAATGAACTATTTTATCATCTCACCATCTCACCTGTGTCCTCCCTCTGAAAGAACCAAGCATTCTTTTTTTTGTGCCAATTTCATTGATTGATGTAATCAGACTGGCTACTAATCAAAGTGATCTCAGTAGCCTAATTCTGTACCTGATCTCTCTCTGTTTGTGCTTCAAGGTCTTTGACCGGGTCCGAGAAGATTGCCCTAATTTCCACGAGAAGATTAAGCCTATTAACGCTGAACTCACTCAACCTAAGCTGGCCATCAGTGCTGAAGATGAGGAGGAGCTTCTGACCCGGGTCAATATTGTCTTCCACTGTGCAGCAACAGTTCGCTTTGACGAACCCCTGAAGTATGTCCTGCTTTCTGTATTTGCTAAGTGTGATCCAGAATGTGCCGTAAGCCCGTACCGCGCCGTTCAGCTCCTGGTATAGCTGTGGAAATAATTCTCCCTTTATGTTTCCATGCTACACGTGGTTTCTGCGCTGAATGTGCAGCGTTAAGTGCTCTGAAAAAGTCGGCTGCACACGCGCATCAAAAGTGAAGCATCTTGGCAGATTTCCATGGGAACAGAAGGAAGCACCGCAATCCTGGGTTGTAATATAGTAAGGGAGTTAAGTATGGCCTAAAATTGTGATAGGGAAAAAAAAAAAGTGTTTTGGGTCAAGAGGGAGATGTTTTGGCAGATCTAGCTGGAGACAGCTTGAAGTGAAACTATGTTGTGTCTGTCTCTAAAGCTAGTGTTAATGGCTTTTCTTTGTCACTGAGTAACTGAAGAAGGAAATGAGATGTTGCTTAAGAAAATAGCCTATCACAAGCTTTAAAATACCTAACACTCAGTGTAATTAACTGTTTGAAATAAATGCTCAATTTCTGAAGGAGCTCCCTTGGGAGTGCCCATCCAGAAGGGCTTTCCACTAAGAATGAATAGCAGAAATGAGCCACTATACCAACACTTGATGTTTAAGTGCTTCTATGCAAACTGTAAAGGTCTGTAAAGAAACTGAGGTGAAGGATCTGGCTTGCCAGATCTTCACAGTTTTTTGACAAATTCTATGGCTGTGAGAGTAGAAAACACAATTATTAATGTCAGTCTTCATTCGCTTGTATGTAGGTTGAATAGACTGTGTCCACCATTAAGAATTGCTTTTTGCAACAACTGATTAGAGAACCAACCAGAAAGGAAGCAACTCTTGATTTAACCTTGAGCCATATGTAGAACCTGGCTCAAGGTACAAGGCACTGCAGAAATAGCCATAAATGTTTTTAAATCAATACACGAATGAACACGCTATAAAAATGCATCACAGTGGCATGTAACATCAAAGGGAAACTGTGTTTTTAATAAGGAGGATAGCTAGAAAGAAGTTAAAAAGTTAAAATGGTCATCTGCTTGCAGGCAGCATAGAAACTATTTAAAGGCTGATTGCACGTGATCTGTCAAAATCTCTCCAACAGAACAAGGAAAATCCAGTGTGATTAAACAGCAAAGTACGAGGAGTTGTTAAAATAAAATTATTCCTGTGTGAATAAGAAAATATATCGTATGGGTGAAAGTCCTAGCAAGTTAAATGTGAAAGCATAATACTGCAGCTCAAATAAAAATTTTGAGCAGCAATTTGTTAACGACCTGAAAAATAAAAATGTTTTCTAAACACAGGAGAAGCACAAAGCCTCCATGGAATATTTAGAGACACTAGATAAGAAAGGTGCAAAGGCAGTGCTATCAAGATAATAGAAAAGCAGCAACAGAGATATGAAATTAATTACTGGCATTAACATGCTAAAAAACATGCTTAAAAGGCTAAAGGAACTCTGAACATCTCAGCAGAAATCCATGCTGGGCCCATATTCTAAGTGCAATTCTGTTCACCCCATCTCAGAAGGAATAAAATCAAATAGAAATGTACACAGAAGAGAAACTTTCATATGAAGGGAAGCTAAAGTAGAAGTATTCATCCTGCTAGAAGGGCAGGAGGAAATAGAAATCTATAGCAAATTCAATTCTTTAATAGCAGCATGCCAAAAAGAAATTAGTATTTCTGGCTTTAGGTATGGTGATCCAAACATTAATCATACTCTTAGCTTCTGTTTTCATTCATCTGGACTATTTACAATTTCTCTTCAACGTTGGTGTAATTCATTTTTTAGTGTACACTGTACCTAATAGCATTATTCATAATCTTGTACATATTGTTGAAAGCTTCTACTCCTGGGCTGAACAGATTGCATACTCCTTAGCATTTTCCCTTCTGTACAGGAAAGTGTCTTTCTTCTAGTACAAAGCATGCAAAAAAGTTGAATGTCTGTTCACTGAGAACCATCACAGACAGTCTTGAGGACAACTTCTAGCTATGCTGAGTGCTTCAAGGTCAACCTTGCTAACCAGGACTCTTTTTCTCTCATGCTTATCAGTCCTCTTCTCCAGCCCTTCAGAATTTAAGCTGTTATCTCTAATTGTGTCTTCTTTCACTATGAATCTGTTTCTCTGGGCCAAAAGACCCTTTGCTGCTTATTGAAACCCATGGGCTTACCTGGTTTAGCAGTGGTCCCTTAAGGAGCAAGTTGAATGGGGACCACAAGAGCCATAATGCCTCAGTGGTCATGCATATTGGAAATACTTGCGGCATGTTAATGCTGATCCTTTGAATTGAGTGAAAATTAATGAGACAACATTCTGTGGCCACAACTGCAAATCCAACAGCATTATTTTGAAAGCAGGTTTAGCCCTTGCGTTTCATTGAAGCTTTCTGCTCTCCTGTGACCCCCTCTCTTCCCTTTCTTCCCATTTCATTATTTGGGGTTTGGATAATGCTCTAGCTTTCATATATTCTTTCCTGTGAAATGTTTTTTGTTTGTTTTTTTCCTGCCCTCTTTAGACATGCCCTGCAACTGAATGCAATGGGCACGCAGCGGCTTCTGGAACTGGCCCGGCAGATGCAGAACCTGGAGGCTTTCATCCACATCTCCACCGCTTACGCAAACTGTGTCCGGAAATGCATAGATGAAGTCATCTACCCACCCCCAGCTGAACCCAAGAAGCTCTTTGATTTGGTAGAGTAAGTAGGAGCTGCATCACCTCTTCTGACATGGGCTTTGCTTCATTCTGCAGAGGACCTCCGTAGTGTTCATGTAATCTATCCAGTGGCGTTTCTGTTCATAGTTGCTCCTGTTAATGTATTGCCTTGTCCGCACACACCCATGCTAGCGTGAAATGCTGGCCATGAGAGAGACCAAGGGAAGAGAGAGCTTTCTCTTGGTGGTTTTAAGGGGTACTCTTCACAGAATGTCATCCAGTAAGTCTGCCCTTCCTGGGTTTTATCTTGAAACTAGCCTCACTGAAGTTTTCTGAAAATAGAAGACTCTGTTTTGGAGCCTTTTTATCTGAAGAGCTGTTGAAGTCATGCTTTATAAACATTTGGTTGAACCTTAAGAATATTTTTCCAAGCACAGATTTATTAGAAAAAAGCATAAACCACACTTAATAACCCTGTGATTTCAGCTACCTCTAAATTTTTTCACACACTTTTTTAAAAAAGACCATGTGATTTCATGAGAGTCCAGCATTGGGTAAGTTATGCACGAGTGTATTTGCCACCAGGAATGGAGTTGTGTTGCTGCTTTCTCTAAGACTCAGTTCTGTCGCTGCCTTAGTAAAAACTGAAATTTTTCATATACCTTATGTTTATTTCTTTATCTCTTATTTCAACCCTCCTGTGGTATTAAACCAGAGTGATATGGGGATGAGTCAGAAACAGCCTGTTTGAGAGACTTCAGTGTGAGAATCCAGGACTTTGAGGGACCAACAAAAAAGCTTGTTTAACTGAATTTACCAAAATGAAGAATAATTAGAAGAAATTAGTAAATTATCTGATAAAGGTCCCAGGATGCCTTCCCCTTAGAAGAATTTTCACAAAGCTGTAACTTTGTTTTCATTTATTTTCTTGACATATTCCACATGTGTGATACAAGCAACTGACCTGTGAACTAGTAACCCGAAAAGCTGGTATAAAAATCTTTCCTCTCCTTGATTTTAGGATAATAGGAGATGAGATTGATTAATGTCTGCTAGGAGAACCACTGAGTCTTTATTTCAAAAAACTGTTTGTCTAAAGCAATAAGCACTACTCCAGAAAATTTAGTACAAATCAGTGTTTTCTATTTGAATTTCTCCAGTAGCCCATACTTTTGGATATGTTTACTTCCAGCTCCAGTAGCCCATATTCTTGAGTATGTTTACTTCCAGCTAGAAGTCATCTATTGTTTATCATTTATTCAGCAAGTGGAGCATGATAAAACCATAAAGATGTTCCCTGGTGCATTAGAGCAGTAGAGTGCCTGGCCCAGTGTCTTGCCCTCAGCAGTGGCACTGGGAGATGCTGTTTAGAGTGACTACACCAGCCTGGATACCTTTTTTGCAACCCATTCCCCTTGTACTCTTTTCCCAGAAACCAGAAGTGTTGTATGAGGGGTGTTATGTCCTATTCTTTTCTGATATCTTTTTGAAACCCCTAATTTGTTTAATCCCTTTTCGAACTTCATGGTACTGTGCTCCTGCGACCCCCTGTGGTAGCAGATTCCAGAAGTTCACTAACTGCTGTGTAAAGATGAGTTTTCTTTTACATGTTTCAAACTCTTACGCTAGTAGTTTTGTTGCACGTCCAGTAGTTGTAGCCCAGCGATAGCTGCAGCATTTGCCCTGTTCCCTGCCTCCGCAGCTCTGTAAATCTGCATCACATTCACCCTGGACCTTCTCTTCTTCAGACTGAAGAGTCTCAACCTTTTATACTGCCTGCTCATATGCCTGTGCTGGTTTTGGCTGGGACAGAGTTAGTTTTCTTCATAGAAGCTAGTATGAGGCTGTGTTTTGCATTTGTGCTGAGAACAGTGTTGATAACATGGGGATGTTTTAGTTATTGCTGAGCAATAACTCTTGCAGAGTCAAGACCTCTTCTGCTCCTCACACCACCCCACCAGTGAGTAGGCTGGGGGTGCACAAGAAGCTGGGAGGGGACACAGCCGGGACAGCTGACCCCAACTGAGCAAAGGGATATTCCATACCGTCTGACATCATGCTCAGCATATAAAGCTGGGGGAAGAAGACTGAAGGGGCAGATGTTCTGAGCTAGGTGTTTGTCTTCCCAAGTGACTGTTAGAGATGGCAGAGCTCTGCTTTCCTGGAGATGGCTGAACACCTGCCTGACCATGGGAGGTAGTGAATGGATGACTTGTTTTGCTTTGCTTTGTGTGCACAGCTTTTGCTTTACCTCTTAAACTGTCTTTAGCTCTATGGTGCTTAGTCGCTGGCTAGGGTTAAACCATGACAATCCCCATAGGTCTCTCTCCTTGATGATATTGGTTGCCCTTCCTCTCTGCCTTTTTTTAACTCCACTCACTCCCTGAGGTGCAGGGGCCAGACAGAACTTGTATGCAGTACTCAAGGTGTGGTCACGTGAAGTTTTAGTTAAATAGCTTCAAAATGACGCCATTGGTCTTGTTCTTAGTACCTGATGTTGTCCAACATTTCACTGACTTTCTTGTCTGCTGCTACTTGACTTGGAGATGTCACAGAGCTGTCAGCTGTGCTTCCGAGAGCTCTTGCTGAGCTGCAACTGCCAGTTCTGACTTCAGCAACCTCTAAGACTGGTTTAGACAGCTTTTCCCCAAATGCATTACCTTACCTTTATTTGCAGTGAAGCTAATCTCCCACCTTTTTGCCCACTGACTCAGTTTTACAATGCCCATTGGAGTTCATCACTGTCATCATTACATTTCACTGCCCCAAAAAGCTTACCATCACTTGCAACTTTGGAAACAATTATTGTTGATGGCTCAGATAAAAAAAGACTCCAGCAAAGGACCGAATACTAATTAGAAATGTGCAGAAGTGCCTGGCTACCAGAGAGGTGGCTACTTCAGCTGCTTCATATAAGACACTAAGAATTTTTTTATCATATATATCATATATATCATCTGCAGCAGAGGGGATGATGTTTGAAAGAAAGGTTGAGTGACAGAGGAGGGGTTTTCAGACGTGTTCTTTGATATGTTTATCTTAATTGTATGTCTGATTGTTTTTTCTTAGTTGCATAATTAGAGATGCGGTTTCTTTTTGACTAGTTTAGAATTTCTTGTATAGGTTTTCTCGTGGCCCACACTCCAGAAGTTCACAACCTTCTGGTCCTTCTAGTGAGACAGAAGTCACAGCATTCCCTCAGCTATGATGGCATATGTTTGCAGGTAGCACTATAATTGCTTACAGCAAAGACAACCGCTGCCTTCAAAGGCATTGAAATCAGGTGGGCCTTGTTGAAAATTACTGTCTTCAGTGTCATTGGTTTGGAAGGCATTCTGCAAGTCAAAGGCAATAGACGAAGGAGATGCCTGGGGCTCCAGAATGTGTGGAAGAGCAGGATTGGAAAAGTCCCTGTGATGTTGGGATGGCAAGATATAGGCAGAATGGAATATCGAAAACTGAGACTGTGAAGGGAATTACTTGGAGAGAGAGAAGACAAAAGTAGGGTTGGAAGGAGACGGGAGAGATGTGCCTTTTGTTATTCACCATGTAAAGTGGAAGAAAAAATATCTGAGTACAGAAAATTTCGGAGAGAGGCAATTAAAAGATATCAGAACACCACCTTCAAAAAGGTGGGGGAAGGAAAAAAGGAGACAAGGAAATACAAACAACCCTTGACTTAAAGTGTTCTTTTGCAATTGCATTGAGAGGCATGATCACACAACTAGTGCAATAACAGATCCATTTCATGATGCTTTTTGCCATGCAATTGATATTTGCTTATTGAGGTGAAATCCCAAGTAGGTCTCCAAGCTGTTTCTTTTTCTGGTCTTATCCTCCTATTCTATCCCTGCTTTTCAGTATTTTGATATTTAACCTGCTAGTAGAGCCTTAGGCCTAATCTCTGTAAACCAAAAGTCACGCTTCTAGGTGCTGCCAGGCCAATAGAGGAAACATATAATCTGCCACATGGAGTCAGGTTTGCCTTAATCTAAAGCTGAGGGAAATCAGCTTTGAAGGGTGTGCTGAGGTAAGGAACACAGCACCCAGCGAAGTGTGGGCTGAAGCAGAGCTGGTTTTATTATTGCAGAAAGTGTAGATTTGTCATCCCTTACAAAAAAGTGAGTGTCTCATTAACGCAAAGCGATCAGCACAGAAAGCTACATTTTCCTGTGGCAGAGCAATTTGGTGCGTATAGGTGGTGAAAGAGGAGGTTAATAATTGTTTGATTTGCATTGCTTATTGCCAGGGGGCAATTGCAGCAGTGAGTAAAAGCAGTGGCTTTGTAATTTAGCATTTTGAAATCTTCCAAGTAGGTCACAGAGGAGAGGGAAGAGTTCGCCCCGCTGCTCTGTCAGCTCCACGCTCCTGTGATGGTAATGCTGGGAGATCACATCACCTGGTAGGACAGTACCTTTGAGACAGACAGGAACGCGGTCCTTTTGATGGCCACTTAAAATAATGCAGAGGCCTGTCTGGAAGGATGAGGGCAAGGGGAAAGGATGAGAGCAAATGGCCTCAAGTTGTGCCAGGGGAGGTTCAGGCTGGATATTAGGAAAAATTTTTTCACTGAAAGGGTTCTCAGCCATTGGAATGGGCTGCCCAGGGAGGTGGTTGAGGCCCCATCCCTGGAGGTGTTCAAAAGACAGGTTGATGTAGTGCTGGGAGGTATGGTTTAGTGATGGTGATGCTCCTTGTTTGTTGTGCAGGTGTCTGTTTTTGTCAGTCAGGTTGACGGTTGGACAAGATGATCTTTAAGGTCCCTTCCAACCTAGAAGATTCTGAAATTGCTTCTCCTTGTACTTCTACACCTGTCTTTGCTTTGTGAGAAACACTGACCTATAAGCCTCCCTCTGTTATTTAGTTAAAAAAAAAAAAAAAGAGGAGGAGAGAAACGAGACTTGCATGCAAGTCTCTTTAATCTAAGTTCCCAAATGAACCCAGTCTTCCTTCATGTTCCGCAGAAATAGACATCTCCTTTTGGTAGGCTCATAATTAATAACCTGACAGATTCAAACAATGGCAATTTATCTGAGACCCTAAGGAGGCTGGGTTCAATGGCTGCCTAAAAAGGCTTTGTAAATTTAGTCAATATTGTGTGCTACTTGTAGCGTCTGTGTAGTTCAGCTTCATTTTTTATGCTTAAACAATTTTTCTGCCTTGTTTCTGAAACATGGCACTAGGATTGCAAAGGAAAGTATTTCTGCCTTCATAAGGCTTTTTTTTATTTTAAAAAAAATAATTTCTTTGTACTGAAAACTCTTAGATGTTTTTTAGCTTGTTCCAAAACTGAGAGATTCCCTGGATTACCCGTCCCCTCCAAAGTGTTTCAGTGAATCAGTGTTTTCTCATACAACATCTTTTGTGTAATATTTCCATCTATGTCTAATGAGAGCCACCTGAAAAGCAGTGTGCTACTCCAGCCATGAGGTGTTTGCATGTTTAAGTTGGTATGATCAAGTAATTATCCAGGTGTGATGGTCTCCGCCTTATTCCTCTCCCCTTGACCTCCACCTGCTTCTGAAATACAAGATAAAGAGGGGTGAAGTGAGGCTCCTTGCAATGCCCCTGGGAAGAACATGCCCGTTCAGTCTGAACTGTAAGTCCATTGACTTAATTACAAATTGGATTATAGGAGTTAATCTTTGATTCCGTGGTGTAACACCAGGCTGCCGAAAGCCTGTCGGGGATTGGCAGGGGTGTGCAAGGGCTCTGGAAGTACAGCCAGTTCCTGTCCTTTAGACCCGAAGGCTGGCAAGCCCAGTGAAGTCTTGATGGTGTGCCAGGGAAGAGCCTTTGAGCCTTAGGTCATCGCTGCAGCACTGCGGTGGGAAGGGCTGCTTTTTTAAAGGTATATGTGATCTGATCTGATGGATTAGATCCCCAAATAACCTTAAATAATAATAAAAAAAATGCTTAGTGGGTTTTTTTGACATGTTTGGATTTTTGTTTGATTTTTTTTTAAGCAGCTAGCATTGGCAGTTTCCTAACCTCCTACGTGAACAAGCTGTGGAAAACCAGTAGGAGGGGAACACTTAACACTGTAAATAGTGCTACTGGATTCATATCCCTGTAGTACCTTGGTCTAGCTTTTGAGATCTTTGTCATGGTACTTGACTCAATAACTGAAGGTTACCAAGAATCTCCTGAAACGTACGTGGGAGTATGTAGGGACTGTGTTGGCTAAGGACAAGCGCTAACTAGCGAGGGTGCAAGGCTGGAAAGCTCTGTGAATCTGCAGACCATGGCTATATTTACATTACAGATTGTGGTGAAGCATAAAGCACACAAGAAATTGCTTTAAAATGAGGTGTATGGATAACTGAAGTTGAGCTGAACATCGTGTCATGAAGCTCAGTGCTTATTTTGCACTTTGAAGACAAAAGTAACCTTTCTTCCAGAGAGCTATTCTAAACCCAAACCAGATGCTCTTTGCTTTGTCTTAAATGGTTTTCACTCTCTTATCCTTTGTTTCAGGTGAAGGTCCCTGTCTCACTGGTCTTTTTTGCTCTCTGCATGGCAGATAACGACGTTCTCCTTGTTTCCTCTAGGTGGCTGGATGAATCAATCATTCAAGACATCACACCCAAGCTGCTTGGGGACTGGCCCAACACTTATACCTACACCAAAGCCTTGTCAGAATACCTGATTCAGCAAGAGAAAGGAAACCTGAACATTGCTATCATCAGGCCATCCATCGTGGGAGCTAGCTGGCATGAGCCTTTCCCAGTAAGCATGAATACTTAGCAACTGCCTACCAAGAGCCCCTTGATGCAGCTGTAGCTGCAGTACTGTCAGGAATCTCTCCCTACTTGTAGCAGCATCCGCTTGAGAAACAGGTACTCCAGTTCATAGGAAAGCACGTGGGAGAGGTGGAGGACCTGTGATGGAATAGAACAGCAAGCCTTCTTTAGCACCTTCAGGAAAGACTCCTATCTCCAAGTGAAAAGAATGCATTTAAGGGGTAATAGCAAGACTGAGATAATAATGGTGCAGAATGATGGGCTTGCAACTGAGCCTCACATGCAGCGGATTGTGCCCAGACAGACACATGGGGGGGTCCATAAAAGCTGGGGAAACAGATCTGGGGGTTGCTTGTAGTCCTGATGCATTCCTGTTCGAGTCTCTCCATGGCCCAGTCAGACTGTTAATGATGTGCCCTGATGGGCACCCTAGACCACACATGGGCCTCGAAAACATTCGATAGCATCATGTGCAGTTACCTCGTATCTCTGTCTGATATTGGTAGTCACTGGATTCACGCTCGTGTGGGCTTGTTGCAGATACCAATGTCAGCCACGCAGTAATGAAATGCAGCTGTACTTTTGGATGGAAATAATTCACGAAGCTAAATATACTGGTAGCAACAGCGTGCCCTAACATTGCAGCCAAATTGGAAAGGCAACATAAAGTCACCTTTGGCTTTTGTGCAGCCCAAAGCGTGCCAGAGATGGCTGAGATAGAGCCGAGGCTCTGGGCCAAGCTCCTCATCTCAGAAAGACGGAGCGAACTCTGTTAGATGTCATAACCTGGTTCAGGTCAGACAGCTCATCCCTGCTCTGAACTGCAGCTCCCACAAGTGGCAGTTTCCCTGGCCTGAAGTAGGATAGGATTCTAAAGTGCAGTGGTTTTGGTTTTGTTTTGTTTTTTGTTTTTTTTCTTCCTTGCCTTAGAAATTAGCTGGAGTAACCAAATCAGTGCCACCTGCATGTCATGTATTGGAGGGTATATCACACGCTGAGTGTTTTCAGCAAGTGTGACAGCACCGAGACACGGTGGTGTTTAAAGCCAGAGTTTATTCCTGTAGCCAAGTTGTTATAGAAAAGAAGCGGTTTCTGAAAACAAAACTAGATGCTGTTGGTGGTGGGTAAGTTGCAGACAGAATGAGGTATCGTACAACGCATCCCCTGTTTAAAATCAGTTAAGCACTTGGTACTGGTTAGCTTCCTGGCAGCTATCCCAGATAGGCTGCCATCCATCTTAACTGCTGTCGCGTTGCCTCTTCGTTTGCATTACACATTATACCCCTTTCACTATTTCGAAGCCTGTGTAAAGCAACATTGTCATTGAAAGAAATGGTAACCATTCTTTTTTTTTTTTTGGCAGGGTTGGATCGACAGCTTCAACGGGACAAGTGGAATATTTGTTGCGGTATGTCTGGTCGCTGTTTAAGCTCCCCTTAAAGTGGAGTTGGAGTTACTAAAACAGCAACTCTAAAGTTCGTCTACGGCTCCACTTAGAAAGTGTGTGCAAAAAAGGGTCACAGCCATTTTCTGAATCTGGTAGAAAAATGTCACACACTTGCCATACACCTGTATGTAGGACCCAGAAGATTGTCTGTCTATGCTGCACTCAAAAAAAAAAAAAAGGACATTGAAAGAGTATTCATGTTGCTGATTCACTAAACATGAATTGCAGTTTCTAAAAAGAATAAAATTTGGGACAAGTTTTCAAAGAAAGGGCAAAAGATGCATCCTTGAAACTAGGGTAATTCACAGATGTCAAAGCTTGAATCTTGTAACAGAACTTAATTTTCCAGGCCAGGTTACCACACCATCAATACAAGGCGTTATTTATCCTTTCATTTATCTTCATATGTGTGGTTGCTAAGTCTGCTGCTTTAGTTTGTGACCACTCCACAATAGCAAAGATTCTGGGTCTCGCTTGTCGTTGCTTTATGCAGGATTTCTCCCTGTACAGAGTACACCTAAATAATGGGTGTAACTATCAATTCAGCCTCTGCTGGTCACATGGATAATTCACTAGAACCTTGCATAACACTGGTGTAAATGACTAATGTGCAAACTGATGAGGAACAGAGCCATAATTCTGAAATAATTAATAACTTGATAAAACATTCCCTGTAATATGAAAACAATCATTGCAATTCAACAGATGAAAACAGAAAAGTTGCATACTTTTCTCCTGGCTTATTTTTTTCCTGAACTAAAATCGCTGCCTTAGGTCTACTTCTCAATGCATAAAGCTGTATCGCTGTGTGCAGATATTTTTGTACATTTGATTTGTCCGACTTGATTACTTTGTAAAAACTATATCGTAATCAGCCTGATGCAGTGTATAAAAGGATTAGCTCTGCAATCATAGGAGAGCCAAATATCACCTTGTTAAAAAGCTCATTCGTAACCTGAAGTAGAGCATAAATAGAAACTATTGGAATCCACAGGAATAGTGAAATTAGTGGGTATATCCCAGCTAATGCTTTTATCTGAAACCCCAGTTACACATTTCAAAGACATTCAAAAGCCCCCGAACGCATAACTTTTGCTCACGAAGTGTTATCTCCTATGCATCTTGCTGTTTCTTTAAATTAATTGTCTATCAGCCTTTTACTCGTTACTGACTGTTCATAAAGCTTGTTCTGCCTCTCTCTGTTCTATTCCCAGCATCTTGTGCTGTTTTCTGTGTTCTTTCATGACTTATTGTCGTCATCACAATCAAGAAAGGGTTTGCAGTTCCTTAGTTTTGCAGATCCACTTCTTACATTTTCATGTGACAGGTTCTAACCATTTGTAATTATATCTGTGAGTTTGGGGTTTTTTTATGTTTACTTTTGAGCACTGAAAATGGCTGTCACAAAAATTTGTCCAGGGTTAGTTTGCAAGAAAGATGTTATACAAAAAATTTCCATTGCATTGCTCTTCATTCCTCACAAGAGAATTACTGAAGTAACCAATTCCAGCAGTTGGCTGTCATATGTGTATCGTATACCAGTGCATTATGAAACACAGGGTAAATTCATATGCTTTCAGCCATATAAAAATATGCCAATCAAATCTTTTGTCATTTAAGAAGCAGTTTCACCCCCCTCCTTTTTTCTTTTCTTTTAATCTGTCAACAAGTGAAAACCACCTAATGGTTAAGTATTTGGAAATTATGCCCGTGTACCACTCTCTTTTAATAGTGCCTGCTTTAGGAACTTGCAGTACGGCTTGCATATATTTTTTATCCTTATCTTTTGCTCCTGCTACCAGTAACTAACATTTACTGTGCTTCATAGCACAAAATTTCTAGCCTTACTGACTGCAACAGCAAGGCTAATGGTGGTTTCATTTGGGTGAGGTTTCACACACTGATGCCAACCTGTATCTTAATCTCCACATTAACTCTATGGAAAGTAAAGATTTTGAAATTTGAGGGTCACTGTAGTACATAACTTCCCTTTTGTATAAAAGCTTTGACTTGTACTGAAATAGTTTTAAAATAGAGATGGTATTTTTTGGTTCAGGATTGAAGCTCTCAGGCTCTTCACTATGGGAAATGCAGAGACAACAAAATTTGTGTCATCTGCGCTGAGTTCTTCCATGATAAAATATGATGATTTGAAATGTAACTATATTGAGACTTAATCGAGAAGAAGACACACATCAAAGATGGTAGGTCCAGGGTGTAGAGACCAGGTCGTTGTCCGTGTCCAATGGCTCTTTGGCCCCACAGGCAGTGGTGTTGGCTGGCAACAGCCAGGAGCAGGGACTCCGTGATGTGGAGAAGCAAGGGGGAGGTTGCCAGTGTTGACAGATACTGTTTGTCTTGTACCATCTCCAGTTGCCTACTGAACTTAGTTGGACTGGCACTAGTTATCTGGAAGTGAAAGGTATATATTGTTAGGGAGCCCAAGAAACTTTTGGTCTTCTGAGGCTGGGAAATAATACATGGTTTGAATTAATGTGCTTAGATATGGTGAATTGGTGATTCCTGCTTGGTAGTTTGAAAATTAACCCTTGAGGATTTGAGTTATACATTAGTTTACCTACCTGGAAGTCGTGTGATTATAGCTGTCTCTCTCTGCCAACTGTATTTCGAAGTGTATTTATCGGTCAAGCAGCTTTATTTCCCTTAATTAAGGATGGAAAAAGCAAAAGGAATTGTGTTTTTGTGTTTGTGGTTTTTTTTTAAAGTCCCCCCTCATACTTAAATATCCATTTCCAACTCTTAAGCCATACTCATCCTATATGGAGAACACCTCCAGATTCAGATTTGACTCATATGATCTTTGGGATCATCTGGGCAGAATCTGAACTCCAAACCTTGCAAAAATTATTTATTTTTCTGTAACTCCTCAGTCACCACTCTATTATTTCAGTCTGATCATTTCGTTCCACAATCTTTTAAATATTCATGAAATATGGGGGTTTGAGTTGTTCTTGATAGTCTTATCGTGTTTCTTGTTGCCTACAGTTGCTCCAGCTGCTGTGGGAAGAAGCTTTGTTTATTGATTGAAAAATAAAATGCAATTAATTAGATTTCCACTGGACTGTAATTGAGGCATTTTGTCTCACTGTTCCATATTACCTGTAAAGATCTTCCTCCCTGCAAGGCAGCCAGGCTGTAGGACAGAACCTATTCGTGTTCTGGGTAGTAATTGGCCCCAAAGCACTTCGGCTGGGAGGCTGTCCAGAAACATCAGACTCACAAATGGTTTTGGACGCTTCAGCTAAAGTAACTTCTGTTTCACTAAAGAGAATAAAGTCAGCAACTACAAGTAGAAATCAGGCCATACCTGATAACGAAGTTCCAAACCAATGTAAAACCACTGAAACCTGAAGTCTTTATTTAATACAGAATAAATAAAATATCTATTTCATCCATGTGTATGTGGCCATGCTGCTCTGAACACAGGCAACACATCCATCAAAATTCCTAGTTTTGAAAACCTCAAAAGGTCTTTAGTCTACCTGTGAAAATGTGATAGTTGATCACATAGTGGTCTCTAGTGGGCATGGGTTCACAGCAGTGGAAAACTCAGCTGAGCTTGATTGGCTGTTTTGGTTCTCTTTGCTTTTTTTCCCTTGAAAAATGAGTAGTAGGAACAAAAAAAAAAAAAAATTAAAATCATAGCCATGTTGCAAGTTAAGGTTTTAATGTCTAAGTATAACTGCAGTTCAGCGTAGGGCAGCAGAGGTTAACTGTGCACCATGGGTTTGAGGAGGATGTTTGGATTCTTGTGGGAAGCTTACATGGTTGCCTCTGAGTCTGTCTGTCTGTGATCCTTCTGCCAGCTGCACCAAGGATGAGACTGCTCTGAAGTCTTAGTTCATGAAAATTAAATCAGTCATAAGGTGTATTGCCTTACTTGCAAGCTGTGAAAGGTAAGAAAACCCTCTGATAATAGAAGGGAAAAGGAGAGGGGAGAGAAAAGGGTTGTGGTGTCTTTTAAAATCCACCAATGACCAGTAAACAATGGCGTGTGCTTTACAAGTTAATATCAAATCTTAAATGCTTTTTTCATCATATCTTTCTTCTCCCAGACTTCAGGCAAGTGGTTTTGCACAATGAGGCACTTCCTGCCTACCTGCTGTAGTAAAACTTCATCTTTCACAGCTGGAGTGCTATTTCGTCATGAAATGTGGGTCTCAGGTTGGAAGGAAAGGAAAAAAAAATATGCTGTAACGTTTTATTTGCCATGACTTTTAAATATCCATGGATCTGTGGAGCGTATTCCTTTGCCCCTTCACTCAGGCCCTCCCTCTGGTTTTACATGGATCTAAATTATAAGAGCTTTTTTACTTCCTTGCTTCACTGTCCTCCCAGTTCTTCATTGGGTCCTCAGCTTCTACATCAATCTCAAATTCATTGCATTTTTTTCTCCACATTAGATAGCTTGATTGCAACCTTGACTTTGCCATTGGGCGTTTCTTTTTATATTTGCTCTGAGACACACTAGGTGAAGTTCCTTCACCCCATTTCACCTCCGCATTTCTATATGGCTGAATTGTCCTCTCTGATTCAGTCTGCCATGTTGTTGCCATCTGTTGCCATGCCTTTCCTGTGGAACCTCCAAAGGTCATCAGGGAAACCCCTTGATAATCATTCTGGTTAAATATAGATATTTTGGGGAACCTGATGCCCTGAAAAATGCACTTCTGACCAAAGCAAAATTAGTCTTCTTGCCTACCTCTTCTCTTTGGTTGTCAGTACTTCCTATGTTCACTCATTCGTTTCCTGAGTTTCATTGGGTGACAAGCTCTTCAAGGCCATGTCTTGACTGTATCTGTGCTTAACAGACACAGCTTTGGAAAAGAGGAGGGTGTGAATACATCCAAAGAAAAGGGAGTAAACTTCAAAAAGCCTGTTGGTGTCATTTCCAAAGTAACTATTATCTTTGAGGGACACTCAAACCTTTGCCTGGGTCATTTAAGAAAATGTTACTTCTGGTATCACTGGGAATTTTACTGCAGTAAATTCAAATATTCTCTTTCCTAGGCGATTTCTTTCATATGGAGTTAACTAAGAGTCACAGGTTTTCTTGTTAGACACAGCACAGATGTCATCATGTTTTAGACTTCCTCTACAAACACAGAACAGCGGGATCCATGTGAGATCCATCTTCGTTTTCACAGAAACCAAATAATCTTCTGCAGCAGGTGCCAGGCTTGAAAAGTGTTAACATGATGGTCTGTTCTTGCTCCAAGCCAATGAAATCTTACCATGGTCTTACTGTCAGTGTTTGTTTTCCTTTGTCCCACAGGCGGGCAAAGGGATTCTGCGGACCGTCATTGCCAACAACGAAGCCGTGGCAGATATGATTCCAGTAGACGTTGCCATCAACCTCACCCTTGCGGCTGGGTGGTACACTGCTGTGCACAGGTGGGAAGGCACTCCTCTTTCTACCAATTTTGGGCATTTACTTTCTGCACCAGGACTTTAAAGGGAACCAGAAGCTAATTGAAAACCCCTGCAGGAGCCTTGTTGATTCATTTTCTGGTTCGTGTTTTCCTCCTCGGGTTGGCAAGGACTAAGAGTGTAGCAGAAGCGATAAAAGCGGGATTTAGATGAAGGAAATCTATAAAGCTACAGGTGGGACCTGTTTCTCAGTACAGCGTAAGCTCAGCTGAGAAGTCTCTCTCTCAGAAGCTACTTTTCTGAAGTCCGAGAGCTTTACTGCAGCTTTGCAGCAGGTGTTTTTTGCGTGTCCCTCCTCAGACAGCTACACTGAGTTGCTTTTCAAGTGGCTTCGAGAGTTTTCATGGTGAAAATGCTCTGCATGTCTTCCTTGGAAAACACTGCAAAATATAAATATGCTGTGGATTCATATAATAGGGGAGATGATCTAAAAAAAGCCCGTTGTTGGGAAGGGTATGTGTAAGTGACACTAAGGCATGAAGATCTTTTCCTGTGAACCTCTGGCTCTGACCTTCAATCATTAGTTAGGAAGTGCTACAGAGTAAACCACATGAATTATTCTGGATGTTCATGCAACTTTGAGAAATCAATACCAGGCAAAGAAAAGACGGAAATATTTTACTTGGAAAGACAAAGTAAGCCCTCTGAGCTGAGAGTAGACAACAGCTGCATACAGTAGCCTAAATGCAGGGATCCTAAAAGGATCTTAAAAGGCAGCTCACCAGCTCTTTAAATTTATTTTTCTCATCATTTTGTCCCCCTCCGTCAGCAACAGACAAAGCAGCATAGTCTGGGCAAAATAAATACAGCTTCCCCTTATGCACACACCCCTGAGAGCCTCCAGATGAAGAGCTGGAGATGAAGGCTGCCCATGAAGCTGGAAAACAAGATGAGCATGTGCTGATGAGCAGTATATCATCACACAGGTAGACTTCCTGGCTCTGGCCATGGTAGGAGAAGTGCCATTTTTTCTAACTTTTCATTGGCAAAAGAGAGATGCTTTTAATCTGGTTCCCACACAAATAATTATCAGGTTATAGGAGCAACTGAAGAAGTTGATTTAAAGCTTTATCTAGCTGGGCACAACCCCAAGGTTAGCAACCTCTAAACAAAACAGGAGCCTGAGCCTTCTGTAAATTTAATTTCTCTGAGAGAGTTTTGGGTTTAGGTGTTGTCTTGAAGAATAGCATGTATGGTTTAATTATTTATTTTTTTTCCAAATCATCTAATTAGAAAGTCAGTGTCCTTCAGGGCAGGTGACATTACTGAGGAAAATTAGATTCTAAAACTTAGCAGAGAGTTGTAATCTTCATTACATAGTGTAGAAACTGTACAAAGCTTACGCTCTACCAAGATCACCAACTCAGCTGGAGGGCGGAGAAAGGGGAAAAACCAACAGGGAGATACTCTTCACTGGAAGCTGGGAATGGAGATATCCTCTTCACTGGTGTTTAACGGGCCTGACCCACTGGAATAAGTGGAAGTCTGTGCTTTCACTGCAGTGCATTTTGCAACAGGCTGTGTGTGTGTGGCTCTGCACTAAGTGGGTTTTCTCTATGGGCACATATTACAGATTGAGTCTTAAGTGAGTTGCTGTATCAATTTCCATAATGCAGAGTTTCCCCATGTTAAGCACTACTGTGCATTTTTATGTTTGATTCTATGATTCTATCACTGTGGAGGGGTATTTGCTATTTCGTGAGAGCTCTGCTGGCAGTAGGTTCCAAGTCAACACCTTGGTTAAACATCCCATGATTCTATGATTCTATGATTCTATGTTTAACACTCTATCAGGCCTCTGCTCAGTAATTAAGAGTTACAGGAGATCATGGATTTGGAGTTTGATACATGTCTACTATTCCTAACCATCCCAAGAAGTCTGCTAGGGATGAATAGTAATGTACAGTCAAATGCCATGATTTCAAAGCATTATTTAAAAAAGCACCGTTAAAAAACTGTGCAGTATCCAAAGGTGGTTTTCAAGTATTACTGTGCGAGATTTCCTGTCCCAGGTTTAGGGGTTCCATCTCCTGCTCTCTTCAGACATAGGATTTTTGAAAAGAAAGGTTCCTCGTAGGCAGCCTCCTCCAGTAGAGAAAGGATCTGAGCACCACATGCACCCTAGGAGCACTGAGATGCTGTGTCCTCCAGCCAAGCTGCTTGACCCTGTCCATGTCCAGGTCTCACCTCTTCTAGCACTTTGGCAGATGACCCCAACTGCTAATGCAGAGTAAGAGAAATGCTGTATTGATGGCATCACTTGCACCTTTGGCAAGGCAGGCTTAGATCAGAAAATCTGTTTTGACTCATTCTTGTCTTGTATCAAAAAAATACAACCTGTGTGATCTATGTTTAGTTCCACATGCAAATAACAACCAAGCTGTATTTGGTATTAAAATGAGAATTTTCTTGAAATGGACTGATTTGTAATCACCACCCTGACAAACAGCATTTAAAAGTAGCACAAATCATATCCATTAAGTCTGCAATGATTGCAAAGTACACAGTGTCCCCCTGAGGTTGGGTTGGGCCAATTATTTACAGTATACTAAGAGATATTAATAAAAATAAATCAGAAATTTGTCAGTATGTATGCTTTGCTTACTGTTTTTATGATTTTTGATACATTATATATAGGTGATTTTTCTTAAACCCCATCTGTCTTTATTAACTTCATATGCTCTCCAGAATCTGACTGAATCTTATTAAAAAGTTAATGTTTTATACTACCTTTTCATATTTATGAAAAATGACCTCTTCTGCATTTTTTCATGAGCTGATGTTACTGTTTCTTGGGCTGTTGGCTTCCATACTCCGGTAATAAACATTTGGGTGCTTCTCTTCACACTAAAATGACACTTCTTTCTCTTTTCCAGACCAAAAAACCTATTGGTGTACAACTGCACTACAGGTGGAATCAACCCTTTCTTCTGGGGAGAAATGGGTAAGGTCTGATTTAAACCTAGAACATGTCAAGCATCACTTGCTTTGCTCAGCTAGGCTTTGAAAAGGTGGTTTCCTCTATTTAGGTGACATTCAGCGTCTGCCATTCAAATTGCATGTGGGTGGCCCAACTGCAGGAGGTGAGGGTCCTGTGAGCAAAAGCTCCTGATGATGGGCATTCAGTTAAGGAAAGCGTTTATTCCATTTTCATTGTGGGCTTGATCACATAACAGCCCTGCCAAGTACGTGCTTTGCTGCACTGAGGTATTAAAGTGGTGGGAAAAGGAATAGAGAACCAGTTCCTTAATTCTATGAGAAGGTGTTGAGTCACCATCCTTGGATGAGTGTAAGAGTGGTTTAGATGTGGTGTTGGGGGATATGGTGTAGATCAGGGTTGATGATTGGACTCGATGATCCCAAGGGTCTTTTCCAACCTAAATGATTCTATGATTCTATGCTCTGCAAAGCTGTAACAGGACGTCTTCCTTTTCTGAATGAGAAGCTTTTCTAGGTTTGGGATGTTTTTTTGTGCTCTGAAAACACTTGGAAAACCTTGATAATGAATTAAAGCTGGTTTGTTGTGGAAGTAGGGTTGCCTTTCTTCCTCTTTCTGTGAAGAAAATTGTAAACAGAAATATATGGTGTAGACTTGAGAAGGCAAACCTTAAAATGTCAGGTGTGCTTGGAGAGCAGTTTGCCTTTTGGTCATGAACTTTGTCAATGGAAGAATTCAAATTATTTTCATGGCTGACTTACCTTCAAATGCTTGTGTTTCCAAGGTAGGGATGAAAGAAAGGGAGACTCACGCTGAAGCCAAGCAGCAGAAATACTACATACGGTCATAGACAGATACAGGGCCAGATTTGCTTTCTGTTAGACATTAATGCATATCTTTGTGCTTTAAATACAGGATGCTGGCAAATCACTCCTGTGGTGTTTCACCTCTCAGCCTTTGCTTTGCATTTGTCTTTGCATTATTTAACTGGCAAACTGTAAGTGAGCAGAACACTGCATTTTCAGAACAAGGCTTGTCTGAAAACCCTACCAATGTCCTACCATGAGATTTGATCAAGTAAGCAGGTGGAGGGAGGTGATTCTGCCCTTCTACTGTGCTCTCGTGAGACTCTACCTGGAGTACTGCGTCCAGCTCTGGGGCCCCCAACATAAGAAGGACATGAACCGGTTGGATTGAGTCCAAGGAAGGCTATGAAGATGAAGAGAGGGCTGGAGCACCTCTTCTATCAAGACAGGCTGAGAGAGTTGAGATTGCTCAGTCTGGAGAAGAGAAGGCTTCAGAGAGACCTTAAAGCAGCCTTCCAGTACCTAAAAGGGGCCTACAGGAGAGGTGGGGAGGGACTGTTTATCAGGTAGTGCAGTGATAGGACGAGGGGCAATAGCTGTAAACTGAAAGAGGGGAGATTTAGATTAGATATTAGGAAGAAATTTTTTGTTGTGAGGATGGCAGGACACTGGTCCAGGTTGCCCGGAGAAGCTGTGGCTGCCCCATCCCTGGAGGGGTTCAAGGCCAGGCTGGATGGGGCTTGGAGCAACCTGGTCTGGTGGGAGGTGTCCCTGCCCAGGGCAGGGGGGTTGGAACTCGATGATCTTTAAGTTCCCTTCCAACTTTAACCATTTTATGATCTAGCAGGGAAGAGGTTTCAGCAATTGGCTGAGCAGTGAGAAAATCACGCCAAGTTCCTGACAGTTTTTTGATGAGAGATTTAATGCTGTGGTTTGTCGCAGTCTGAGGGAAGAGGTGAGGCTTCATAGGTAATAGTTGGAAAATGTAGCCAGTCTTCATAATGTGTAGTCAGATCTTCTCTGGCTTTTTCACAGGAGTAAATGCAAAGGTCTTCACAGGCAGCTCCTTTAGGCAACAGCCATGGGAGCGCCTCTTCTTCAGGTTTGCCTGTCTTAACCCGTTCTCAGTCTAATTTTACTGATGAAAACAGCAACGTGTTAATGCATTGTAGCAGATCTTGTTCTGTTACTTTGCTCATAACTGGGGGTTTAGCAATGAAATTATCTGAGTGCGGCAAAAGTTGCAGAAGCAGTTCCGCTGCATGATGGGACTGAAGGCAAAATTTTCTCCTTGGGTGACACCATGGAGTTTTTTCTACCACATGCTGTATCCACGGTTTTCCTGAGAGCAGCAGGCTGAGGAAGGCTATTAGGTTTAGACCCATGAATTAGGATGGAGTATCGAAGAGCAAAATTTTGCCCTTACAAGTGTTGCGTGGTTTAAGAAATGAGTTTGGGAAAGTTTTTTTGCATTAGGATGTTACAAGTGCAACCATCCAGGCATCCAATTGAATTCACAATTCAGTCTTCTATCAATGTCTTTTTGGTAAATACACGCAATTCTAAAATCTTATTTGTATATATGACAGACTTTCTCAACTCATTCATATTACTTCTCTGCCTACTCACTGTTATTTGGCTTCTAGGCAGCCAGTCTCATGGCATGCACTACCAACAGGCTCAGGGAAGTGGTTGAGGCACCATCCCTGGAGGTGTTCAAAAGACAGGTTGACATGGTCCTCAAAAATATGGTTTAGTGATTTATTTATTTTTTAATTGCTTATTTCTTATTTATTTTTTTGTCAGAGTTGGGTTGATGGTTGGACTAGATGATCTTTAAGGTCCCTTCCAACCTAGATGACTCTGTGATTCTATGATCTCTCTTAAAGAGGAGCTACCAGTGACTAGTCCTACCCCTGCACAGAAGGACCAAACTTCACCCACCAGTTTCCTCCTTTGCAATGGGGCAGCGTTTGCTACTCAAGTTTGTCACCTTCTCTTTTTGAAAGCCCGTTTCCAACTGGGTTTACTCTGCTAACATTTCTGCTAAATTTCACCTTTCACAGTGAAATTATTGAGGCCAGGTCTCTACCTCTAGCATTTTTTCAGTTTTTCCATAATTTTTCTTTTTCCCCAGCATGAAAGAAGCTGTTTGATGCAAATATACAGGAGGCACGGGATCAGTAGAGGGAAAGAGAGTCTGTTCAAGGAGTCTGGGGAGGCTGGAGTGGCACAGGGTTTGTAATCTGTTATCAAGGTGGAGGGTTGTGAAAGCAAGACTGGAAGCTGATGAGAAACAAGGGTGGGGAATGGGAGTCACCAGTGGGACTGAGCGTTTTAGTGCAAACCAGACGTGGGGTTTGCAGAGGGAAGGACCTGGGGTACCTGGTTAGGGAGACTTCCACCAGGACCACCTGTAGGAATGACAGGCGAACACAACAGAGTAGGGATTTTTCAAGGAAAGAGGAGGAAATGAGAGAAATATCAAACTGAGAAATTGAGTCTGGAGTAGGCTGAGGATACCCTTCTGGGTAGGGATCAGAAGTGTCTGAGATGGGGACATTTTGAGTACAAAGGTGATGAGCTTGGGGGAAAGGAGGAGAAAGAGATCTAGAAGAGAATTATTTGAAAAATATATGTCTACTTAAGAGCTTAAACATCCATTGGAAAACAGTTTATTCTACAGATCTCCAGATACAGACAAACCTCTAATGTTAAAAGGAACCTTAACTGATTTACTTCTTTTCCAAATAATGTTATGCCTTGGGAAGTTCTCTTACTTTCTTGTTACTCTCCCTCCTATTACAAAAATGTGGTCAGACAACTGAGTATTAATCTGAAGAAGCATATTCTGCTTTGCTGCAATGTAAATCTTGCTTCGTGAAATCCATTTTGCAGTTTCTGCTCAGAACTAAACCTAAAAGCAGGCTTTAAAATGGCATTCAGCATGGGAAAACTTAATTTCAATTTATCCTTGACAGTCTACATGGCAAGAGTGGTGTCCGATTCTCCCCCTGCCTCTGAGTTGTAGAATGTGCTGCTGTGTTTTTGCGCTGTGGTCAGAGGGGAAAGACCATCCACCCGCTGAGTTGTTTCAGTAGCTCCTAGAGGTGATGTGTTTCCGCTTTGGGATTCTGTGCCTCCCTGACCCATCTGTCTGTCTGATTCTTTCTCTCTCTACCTCCAAAACAAACTTTTATAGAATAAGAGACTTGCTAAACTTGCAGAGTTGAACACTTTCTAGAAATTAGGAGCTAATACAATTGTGCCAAGTCAGTGCAAGCCAGGGTAAAGAAAGTTCATAAAAAAAACGCCCATAGCATTAACCATTCCATGTTACACAAAACTGGTGTTTTCCTGACTTCCTTCCAGTAAGTCTTTAGGGTTGGTCTCACTGTCTTTGTATGTGCATTTTAAAACAAAACTGCTTTCATTCCTGACTTTAAGATTTTTTTTCTTGAGTTTTCAGCAGATATCAGCTCTTGACATACGTGCATCTTGTACCGAGTAATATCACAGCATAATACTGCAGTTGTGTTTTCCTCTGAAAGCCCTAAGCAACTGAGATGATAAGGGTGTTGCTGATTTGTGTGAATTTGGTGTATGGCTGATGTTCTGAAATAACAAGGGCTGCATTTTCCACTTACTGATTAGCTCTTTCTTGCTATCCTGACCAAAGATGCCAAAAATGCAAAGAAAAAAGAAAGGCAGTAGTGTCTTCAGTGGGTTTCCAAAGGGAAACCTTCTCAACCAGTTTACAGCTGAAAACTAGATTTGCAGTATATTAACATCAGGATTTGAATAAACTGAGCCATAAGCATGTGCTGCAGACACTATCAAAAATGTCGCAATTCCAAAGTATCAGCAGTTCCCAGTTGAACTGATGGGTTGCCATTAGGAAATGAAGTGAACGAATGAAACCAAATAAAGTTAAATATTGATAAGCAGATGAGAGTTTGTTAGTAAACTTGGATTTCAAGTGTCTCTTGGAGAAAGTTCCTTATAGGGAGAAGCAGCAGAGTTCATGGGATTTTTTTTAGCATAAATCTTCCGTGTTACATTTTGCTGATGCTCTATTTATTTGCAGCGAGCTTGGCTGTGAGAATTCCTTTGGATTTTGATAAATTCCTCAACTGCCAGAATATTTATAGCCTGTGGCTACCTCGGCTGTGGGCACTCCCAGAAAAATGGGATGAGCAATCTGTCAATGTGTGATGGGCTTGTGAAGCTTGATGGTACCATGGAAGATCTTTAGCTGAGGGCTGCCATAAGCAGATGGGGAAAAAAACCAGCAACCAAAAAAGACACATTTTTTTCCTTTTCTTCCCACTCCCCCTCCCCTTTTTTTTAGCTTCAAGACCTAAAAATGGAGCAATATCCACAGGTCAAAAGGCTGAGGGCTCCCTAGCTCAGCATCTTCGTGGACTGCTTAAATGTTCCCATCTGGGGAAAAGGTTCAGTCACTTGAGAAGCTCTTTAATTCTTGAAAGGGGGTGGATAATCTGCTTGTTCTCCTTGCCTGTGATCTTGATAATGTCACAATTTAGGGCTGGAGACCGATACTGCCAAAATTTTGCCGTAGGGTTTGTGGTGTCACTTCTCAGGGATTGAGGACATGGGTTAGTGGTGGTTTTGTCAGTGTTAGGTTGATGGTTGGACTCAATGATCTTAAAGGTCCCTTCCAACCCAGGTCATTCCATGACTCCATGGGATTGCTCTCCTAATCCATGAGCTATTTGATGGGCACTGTTATACAGCCACCTCCAAACTGGCAGCAGGTCTCTCTTTATTTAAGCCAGGATGGGCTTTGTCACAGTATAATCGTAGTAAATGGCCATGCTGCTGACATAGAGGAAAGAAAGTCCTCACGCACTGCTTATACTGACACAAACTCTGTCAAGAGCTGGGCCAAGACAGTGGCTTCCTTCCCAGTAGCCCATCCCAAACTGTTTATCACCACTCCCCTGCCAGGAATAAACACCTTTCCACATCTTTGGTAAAACCGCTCCTGTGAGCCCTCCCTGTCAGGCAGAACTACATGGGGAAGTTTGAATAGGAGGGGGTTTTTTTGGCTAATCCTTGCCATCTGGGGAAAACATGCTGCAAAGGGTAAGATTTCCGTATCGCAGCCCGCAAGATGACCACAAGGTAACCACAGCATTGCTGTGGGGCTTCGTGAGACGGAAGGGACGGCAGTCAGTTCTAGCTGTTCAGATACAAGATAGGTTTCAGGAGAACCGGCCTTCAGCCATTAAACTCACAGCACAAGGGCCACAAAAATGAACGATGAACTTGCACTCAAACTAAATTGTACCATTTTGAAAGTCTTTGTTGTCTCAACTTAACAGCTAAGTGGCTACCAAGTCTCTTCTAGTTGTTGTTACGTAGAAGTGCAGTGAAAATCACTACTTGAAGTGCAGTAATGAGATGACGGCAGATACATGAGAGGACTCTCTGAATATTATGACTGGAATCTGCTTATCTAAGGATGATCTGAATGTTTTCTTCTGACTTGCAAATTCTTATCTGATTTTCTATTTGTAACAGAAGCTTAGAGAGTAAACTATAATATGACCACAGATTGATGTCGTAACTCTCAAATTCATTTTTTAAAAAGTAAAAAAAGCCCACATATTTTTCCCTGTTGAGCTCACTGGTGCTCAGGAATAGGAGCACCATCTGTTTATCAGTCCCTAGGATGATAGTCTTATATTCAACTACTGCAGTTCCGTTAAGCCCCTGCAATATGCAAATGCCCCCATACATACATCTAGATGCCACTCCTGTGGCACTGTGCCACTGCAAGACAGCAGAATCAGGGGCAACGTATTTTGTGCCCTAACATACAAAGAGAATGAAAGACTACCACCCTATCAGTAACTTCTCAAGCTAAGAATGCACGGCAGTTGGCTGCTTTGGTGCACCCAGAGCTCCTCTGGAAATAGGCTGAGGTATTTGGCGTTGGGGGTCAGATGCAGTTTGGAAGGATATAATGAAGCCTTTCTAGAAGCAGCACCCTCTGCATGTAAACAACTCGTCCCTGACTCAGACTGGTATTGACATCAGCCCTTGTGAAAAATTGATTAGAAATTAGAAATGTCATTTTTGGTTTATGCTAGCAGATCACAGTTTGCTTTCAGTGATCTGAAGCTATGCTAATGCTTACCAATTGCTTCTGCATCTACTGCGGGTGAAAGCAGAACTGCAGTTCCTTGGTTTGAAGTGTTTCGGGCTACAGCTACTCGCTTTTCCTCCATTACATTTTGGTGTTTCGAAAAGGAAGTTTGTCTGCCACTATTAAGTCTAGAGTCAGGTTGTGCTTCAAATAAACAATAGATGGAGTCATCAAATTTAATGCCAGAAGGGACCATGAGATGATTTTGTCCAACCCCTTGTGCCATAGTTCACATAACATTTGAAGCACTGTGACTTGGGCAGCATGTTGGTATGGTTGCGCCCAGTACAACTGAAATTAAGTACCTGTTTTTAAGTAAAATGCCTATTCCCTTATAGAGCAGTACGTCATGTCCACGTTCAAAAGGAACCCGCTGGAGCAGGCTTTCCGGACACCCAACGCTCACTTGACGTCCAACTACTTGATAAACCAGTACTGGATAACTGTCAGTCACAAGGCACCGGCCATACTCTATGACCTGTACATGAGGCTCACGGGGAGAAAGCCCAGGTAAGAAACTGCACACCTTCAGCCTTCTGCACACCTGCCCCTGTTATGGAGAGCAGATCTCTAACGAGTTCTGAGAACTGGCTGCCTCAGCCTGGAATCCCTGGTCTTCTTTCCATCTCCTTGTCTTGAGGAGACTGCTCAAAAATAAAAAGAACCTCATGTCCGTAGCTAAGCGTAGCCTAGGGTTCCCACCATTTCCAGTACCTGGGGGACAGCACAGGTTTTAAATTCAGCTTTACAAGCTTCAGAGGTTCCCAAGCCCCAGAGAGGACTGTTAGTTATGTTGCTCTCCGTTTAGCAAGATTTGAATATCATTCTTCTATAGTTGTCTATGAGAATGGCCAGGTTGGATGGGGCTTTGAGCAACCTGATCCAGTAGAAGGTGTCCCTGCCCATGGCAGAGGGGTTGGAACTAGGTCCATTCCAACACAAACCATTCTATGATTTCCACCATTGCAACTTTCTGATGTGATTGCCTCTACCTGTCATGAGTAAAGACTCAAGCTTGCGTAAGGACTTGCGTAAGGCAAGGTTTAGAACATTCTAAATTTTTTTTTCCCATAACCCAGATGCATAATTAGCGCTTGCCAGCAGCGGCCCAACACCCTGAAATCTAGGAAGCAGTTGTTTCTGAGTATGAATAAATTCTGAATTGTATTTACAAGGAGAGTTTACCATCACAATTGGTATTTGAGCCTTGGCAGTGTCATGGCTAGGGGGAACGCATGTCCCATGGGGAAGGACTCCTGATGTAAATAACGTAACCCAGCCAACATCCTCTTTTACTCCCTGCCATCACCGAGGGGAATTGATTGTGCCATGCAAGAGCAGTATGCCAGCACCGTGTTCCATCTCAGCTTCTCTGCTTGTTAGAAAGCTGGCTTCAGCTGTTTGCAGGCAGATCCCTGGCTGATGTATTGCTCTGATTGCTCTCAGACATTCTGCTACGGAGGGAAATTGGTCCGTAAAAGACTTCCAGTTATGCAGAAGACAAGAATTACCATAGAAATAGAGGTAAACTGAATATGAGCATGAGTAGCCTGGAATCTCCAAACTCTGTTGAAACAGGCAGCAGTAAGATCTTGGCATTACCATTACAACTGACATTTCATGAAGTTGAATGGCATAGGTAGCCAATGGACATTGGCTGCAACACTGCACTTAAATTTCAAATAGAACTCGTCATGAACTCATGCTGAGAAAGATCTATTCACCTGAACTTTCAGATGTGTGACCTGAGCAAACACAGCATAGCAATGAACTTGTGAGTTTGCCGAGTCCTTTTTTTTTTTTTTTCTTTTTAAAATATAATTCCCCTTTTTTTTTTACATGCTACATAAGGTAATCCAAGTACTGCCACAATGTGGTAGAAAGCATAGCAGCAGCTCATTCCGTCTTTTTTTCCACAGCTACCTAAATATCAAGCCTTTATGCTTTAAGGGCAGCAAACCACATTCAAATAAAAAGAAGTTGAATGTGTCACTGAACCTACTTCAATGTTTCCCTATGATTTTTCCCTCTGCTTCAAACAGAGTGCCTAGGTTTAACTGTCATCCTGCTTGTCACTCTCATCTGCTGAAGGACAAGCCATCTTCATGGCAGTTTCTTGAATTCTCTACGTGACCCCATGCCAGGTTGGCAAGCAGAAAGGAGAAACTTCTTTGCCAGGACCAAGACTCAGGCTTCAGTTCTCTACTGTATCCGTACTCAACTCATCAGAAGGTGATGGGTTATTATATGCAACAGGTTATGTAGGAACTGCTTCTGATTTCCTAAGTCTACTGTTCACTCAGGACCAGCCTAAGCCCTTTGCTAATTTGAATTTAGGGTATTTAGGGGGAACTCAGCTGTAGTTCCTACTAGTTATCACATGCAGTACTCCATCTACCGAAGGATTAGGTACAAGAGTCTTCTCCTTCAGCTTTAGACTTTTATATACTGCCTATCCTGAGAAGCTTACTTTAAGTGTTAGCTCATTTCACATAAATTGCCCTAAATGTCTTGCTGCTGTTACTGCACATCCATCCATGACTTAGAAAACAATGTGGTTTATATCATGAGTAGTCTCTTGGGGCAATCCGTCACACCTGAGAATCTGCTCATGCAAGGCTCAGTATGGGAGCAAGTAAAGAAATCATTGGTGTAAACAGTTTTTTAGAAGACAAGATGCATTTCTGAAGTGAAACTAATAAGGCTATCAGTGACAGCTAATACTTGATATTTTTTCCTCTCGGTTCCTCCTTGGTGGAGAATGAGATTTTCTATAGGAAATCTTTGCCGTAGCCTCTCGGAGGCTGCGGAAAAGCATGTTTCTTTTTCAGTAGACCATTCCTTCATCCAAATTAGTAAATAATTTGAATGTGTTCACAACATTTAAGCTCAATGAGTTAGCATGAAACATAGTTTCCACACGTACCTCTTTAGAGGCTTCGATTCTCTTTTTGACCCTTGCTTTTAGCTGCTCAGATGTGTTGCTTTGGGTAGATCTATAGCCAGAACTACTTCTGCCCACACTGACAGGAGGCCGGGTGGATACCCTGTTTTCAAAACATAAGTAGGGACACACAGTTGATTCTCTTACCATTAATGGCATTAAAGATGCTGACGGCTTTTGGGCAGCCAGTTTGAGGGGCTACTTCAGATCTTTGCAGTCTCGCCATATACTTTGTTTCTCAAGTCCCTAAAAGGTATTAAAATATTGACAGAGCTTTCCCCCATCGTACTTGCCTACACAGGCACAATCGGGAAGATTTATCTGAAGTCATTTTGAAGTAGTTTAGATCAACGTGCACATAATTATTCAGAATGAAGGTTCCCTTAATCTGACAGTTTGCTTTGCTTCTAAAATGAAAGCCACTTTAATTCTGAGTGCCGATGTGAGGTTTTAGCTCTCTTTCAGTTCGCTTTGGGTAATCTGCGCAGTTCTCCTCTGAAATGATGTGCTCATTGTGTCTTTTCCTGCTGTGCTTAGTGCTTATGGTGGCGGCAGTCACATCTGCACATGGAGAGAGGAGCCTGGCACCATTCTTCCCCAGCCCGCCGCCTTTTATTTGTCACGGCGACTGTGTTACCCTTTGGGCAGCTCAAAATTTCTGATGAAAACAGCTCTGTTTTCCACAGAAATCAGCCTTTTAATGCTTTCTCTTGCCCTTATCCAGTCTGAGAGAATGTGGTGTTCTCTCAAAATTGACTGAGTGCTGTACATCACGCTTTGAAACAACTGCCTCCCAGAGACCTTTTGTGCTCATGACGACTGGGACAACCGTAAAATAATCCTGCGAGGCAGGACAGCATTACTGTCATCCCCTCTTATATAAAAAAATGAATAATAAAAAAAAGGCAAAGACACACGAGAGACCTGAACCTACATTTCCAAAGTCCCTGTGTAGCAGCAAAGCCCTTGAAGTAGCTTTCATCTTTACCAGGATGCTCAGGTGCCAGGAAGACATTCAGATAGTTACACACAGAGGCACAAAAAAAATTAATCTTAGGTCCTGGATGATTTTCAAGGTCATCCACCAGGAGTGCATGCTATCGCACCCTTCCTTTATAATCAAGGACACAAAATAAACCTAAAAAATGCCGCTATATCATACAAGAAGGGCCTTTAAGAAAAACAAAATAAATATACTTTTTTTTTTTTAGAGAGAGATCAAAGAAGCCCAAAGACATGAAAATCATTCCATTATCTGAAAACTGAAGTTGAGCAATTGACTTCAGAGCTTGTCCATGCTGCAGATGCAGTCACCTCTCTCCTGGAGTTAACTCCAAAAATTAGAGCCTTGCTTTGGGAGCCAGCTCAGGCTTGAGAACAGAAAAAAAATTTGTGTGGCAGAAAGAGAAGTATCCACCTTAGGAGGCAAGAAATATACCTCTGTGTTTTTGGAATCTGCTGTGTTCCTAGTAGTTCAGATGGGCTCTTCAGCTCACAAGTGGTACATGATGTAGATACGGCCTGGGCTGCATCAAAAGATGCGTTGCCAGCAGGTCCAGAGAGGTAATTCTTCCGCTTTACTCTGCTCTGGTGAGACCTCACCTGGAGTATTGTGTGCAGGTCTGGAGCCCTCAATATAAGAAGGACATGGACCTGATGGAGAGGGTCCAGAGGAGGGCCACAAGGATGATCAGGGGGATGGAGCACCTCTGCTATGAGGACAGGCTGAGGGAGCTGTGGTTGTTCAGCCTGGAGAAGAGGAGGCTCCGGGGAGACCTAATAGCAGCCTTCCAGTACCTGAAGGGAGCCTACAGGAAGGCTGGGGAGAGCCTGTTTAGAAAGGCCTGCAGTGACAGGACGAGGGGCAATGGCTTCAAGCTGGAGGGGAACAGATTTAGACTGGAGATGAGGAGAGGGTTCTTCACTGTGAGGGTGGTGGAGCACTGGAACAGGTTGCCCAGGGAGGTGGTTGAGGCCCCTTCCCTGGAGATATTCAAGGAGAGGCTCGACGAGGCCCTGGGTTGTGACTGGTAAGTTAGGCATCATTCTTGCCCTGGAAAATGCATGTTTGCACCCGTGTTCCAGCCAACAATAAAAGCTGAGTAACTGTAGGCTCAAGACTCACTGGAGCAGTTAGACTTGTTGAGCAAGTTCTCAGCCTGTTGAGCTCCAGTGTAGTGATCATCAGGAACTGCAGTGCCTTTTCACCTGGATTGGTGAAAACACCTACAGAGCATACCCACAGCTTTTGCATAAGATCAAACTTCCTATCCACCTTTGACACTCCTCCTTTGTTTCAGAATGATGAAGGTTATCAATCGACTGCACAAGTCTATGATGCTCCTGCAGTATTTCTCCACCCAGTCCTGGGACTGGTCTTCAGATAATATGAATATGTTAATGAGTCACCTTAACACAGAGGACAAAAAGGTAAGTATGTCCTTAATATGGATTGCTAATCTCCAGTGCTGTTCATCTGCAGCACTTACTTTTGCTGTACGGTTGAGCTTTTGAATTACATCTGCCTAGATGGCTGGAATTGACTAACCTGAAATAAATTATTTTCTCCTTGTTTTATTAAATAACTTATCAGGAACCTTCCATTTATAATAGGAAAATGTTTTCTCCTCAGATGTACTGCCTGTTCTCCTGAGACAGGTCAATCACTCAAGTCTTTCCAGTTAACGTGGCGGGTGATCTAGATACAAATACTAGGGGGGTGTCAAGAGGATGGGGCCAGTCTTTTTTCAGCGGTGCCCAGGGATAGAAGAAGAGGAAATGGGCACAAACTTGAATCTAAGAAGCTCCACCTAAACATGAGGAGGAACTTCTTTCCTGTGAGGGTGGAAGAGGCTGCCCAGAGAGGTGGTGGAGTCTCCTTCTCTGGAGACATTCCAAACCCACCTGGACACGTTCCTGTGTAACCTGCTCTGGGTGGACCTGCTCTGGCAGGGGGTTGGACTAGATGATCTCTGGAGGTCCCTTCCAACCCCATGTGATTCTGTGAAATTATTTGAAATTTCATTTTTGACATTTTCATCTACATTGGCTTTAACGGGCACTGCCTGAGGAAATTTAGTTAACATATAGTGTCTTACCCTGAACAATATGGAGAAAAAAAAATACTATTCTATTTAAGTCCCCAAAGAGTAATCAATCTGCGTGTCAAACTCCGTTCTTGTCTATCTAGGTTTGGATACTACCCCTTAAGAATGGGATTGTTTATGAGAACTTGGTGATGTGCACTGCATCCAGTGCTGCCACTGCTACTTTGCAAGCAGTATTCAAGACAGATAGTTTATGGGCAGAACAGATCTCTATACGTGTCTTAACAGACACCCCGGGACCTGCAGAGTAATTTACCCCCTGTATTTGACATAGTTAGCTAACCCCTCTCTGCTCAAGTTATTGCTGATCTGATACCAAAGCTCTTGCGCCTAAGCAAAAGGCCTGGATTGGCATGGAGGTGAAAGGAAGGGGTTTTTTCTGAATATCTTAGAATCATAGAATTGTCTAGGTTGGAAGGGACCTTAAAGATCATCTAGTCCAACCATCAACCCAACTCTGACAAAAAAATAAATAAGAAATAAGCAATAAAAAAATCACTAAACCATATTCTTGAGGACCATGTCAACCTGTCTTTTGAACACCTCCAGGGATGGTGCCTCAACCACTTCCCTGGGCAGCCCATTCCAATGCTGGATAACCCTTTCCGTGAAGAAATGTTTCCTAACATCCAATCTAAACCTCCCCTGGTGCAACTTGAGGCCATTTCCCCTTGTCCTGTCTCCTGTGACTTGGGAGACAAGACCGACCCCCACTTCTCTACACCTCCCTTCAGGTAGTTATAGAGCGCGATAAGGTCTCCCCTCAGCCTCCTCTTCTTCAGACTGAACACCCCCAGCTCCCTCAGCCTCTCCTCATAAGACTTACTCTCCAGACCCCTCACCAGCTTTGTTGCCCTTCTCTGGACTAGCTCCAGCCCCTCAATGTCTTTTTTGTGGTGAGGGGCCCAAAACTGGACACAGCCCTCGAGGTGAGGCCTCACCAGTGCTGAGTACAGGGGGACGATCACCTCTTGGGTCGTACCCACCACGCTGTTCCTGACACAGGCCAGGATGCTGTTGGCCTTCCTGGCCACCTGGGCACACTGCTGGCTCATGTTCAGCCGACAGTCGACCAACACCCCCAGGCCCTTTTCTGCCAGGCAGCTCCAGCCACTCTGCCCCCAGCCTGTGGCACTGCAGGGGGTTGTTGTGACCCAAGTGCAGGACCCGGCACTTGGCCTTGTTGGCCTTATCTTCCCTTTTAGGACCCTGTAAGTAAGAAACGCCTGTCACTTCGCTCATTCATTAAAAAAAAAAATTCTGAATAACCAGACATCTTTGTCTTTACAAATCCTTTCTTTGCTCTAATAGACAGGCAGCCACCTGAGAGCTAGTGGTTAGGATTCAGCCCTCTCACTGCTGCGGCACGGGTTCCCAGTCAGGGAAATTTTGCCCACCTTGAGTATTGTGTCCAGTTTTGGGTCCTCACCGCAAAAATGACATAAAGGTGCTGGAGCGGGTCAGAGAAGGGCAATGGAGCTGGTGAGGGGTCTGGAGAACAAGTCTTATGAGGAGTGGCTGAGGGAACTGGGAAGAGCCTGGAGAAAAGGAGGCTGAGGGGAGACCTTCTTGCTCTCTCCAACCCCCTGAAAGGAGGGTTTAGCCAGGGGGGGTCGGTCTCTTCTCCCAAGTCACAAGTGATAGGACAAGAGGAAATGGCCTCAAGTTGCACCAGGGGAGGTTTAGATTGGAGATTAGGAAAAATGTTTACACTGAAAGGGTTCTTAAGCCTTGGAACGGGCTGACCAGGGAAGTGGTTGAGGCACCGTCCCTGGAGGTGTTCAAAAGACAGGTTGACATAGCACTTAGAGATATGGTTTAGTGATGGTTTTTGTCAGTGTTAGGTTGATGGTTGGACTAGATGATCTGAAAGGTCCTGTCCAACCTAGGCAATTCTATGTGAGCTTACAAACAATTTTTCCAATATCAACTTTTGAAATTGCCTGGGGTCTTTAGCCCTATGATGAGGATTTTTGATGCCAAACAGCAGAGTAACCTATTTCTTGGTCTCTGTTTATCTAGCCACTGAGAGAGAATGAAGCACAGAATAAAACTACTGCAGAAGCACCTGTTGATTCAATGTCCAATTAATTTCTTTATATGTAATTCTAGTGACCCATTAAAAACTGCATGGAGTTTTCCAGATGATTCCATTTACCTGGGTGGAATTCCGTTTTTCTTCCAGGGTTGGGTGGTTTTGTGTATGTGTGTGTGTACAAACATGTGTATCTATGCAAAAATTGCCAGCTGAAATGAAATTTACCTTTTTATTTTCTGCAGCTTGCACTAAATTTCTGCTTGCTTTACCCAAATTCCCAGCTAGGTAAGACATTAATCAACAGCTGTAAAATATAGTCTGTTGGTGCCCGTGTCTTATTGGAAACTTCATGGCTTGAAGAACTTCAGAGAGGGGGCCTTGCCAGGAACGGAGGTCAATGAAGAATTGATGCTTAAAGTGAACTTGTTTTCAACTCTAGCATTTAATTTCTGCTCTTTGTCTTTAAATTCCAGTTATACAACTTTGATGTTCGTCAGCTGCACTGGTCAGAATACATTGAAAGCTACTGCCTAGGTGCTAAGAAGTACTTGCTAAATGAGGACATGGCTGGCATTCCAGCAGCAAAGCAGCACTTACGAAAGTAAGTCATAATGAGTGACAAGGACAAGATTTCCTGGCTATCTTGAATGGCTTTTGAAGAAAATTATTCTATTTACATTGCACTAATTGTCGTTGAATAATACAGAGATAAACATAGCATAGCTTATTTCTTAGGGCAGAGGGCTGTCAGTGTTTTATTTCTCCACGCTGAAGAAAAAAGGGACTTTTGATGACATTAGCAATCAGGGGCTAGATATTATCCCTTCTTAGCAAATTACCAATTAATGAAGTTACAATGCATAAGAGGAATACATGAATGCAGATGTCATTCAGAATTACAATAGAAAAATAAGGGCCAGATTTAGATTTTGTGAAGCTCCTAGAAGTTTTTAGCAATTCAAAGACTTTGCATAAAAACTTTAAGCATTTGTATGATTTTAAATCTCCCTTTAAAGTTGAAGTTTCTAATTCCTTGGGGATAATGAGCAAAAAATTCTCCAAAATTAGTGGAAAGCATTGCATTGGTGCATTCAGTCCTTGGTGACAATTTAAGAGAGTCTGAACGAGCATTTTGAGATTGTCCTTCTATTCAGTTAAAGATTGTGCTCTTCCCGTCTTCTCCAGCCCTTTTCCTGAGAAGTGCAGGCAAAAGGAGAAAGAGCAATTCCCTTGGAGTAAGACCCCAGTTGTTTCATTTAAGAAAACCATTTTTTTGCACTGTAAGTGCTATAAGCATAAAACAGCCTTTTGCCATAGCAAGGACTCCTAAACAAGTTCTTTGTTCATGGGTCATTTTAAAAGGATTTAGAAGAACCTGTGTAACAGGCAAAGAACTGCCTCATAGCCCAAATAGGCAGTGTGGTACAGCACAGTGATAAACTTTACAAAAAACCCAAACAAACAAGGACCTTTAATAAAATTAAACCAATCTTGGCCACATTATGCATGAAGCTTTCTTCCCTTGGACAGACAGTGGGAAAGTGAGAATTGGAGAACTGCCTAAATTTTTGGCGTGGCAAAAAGAGGACAAGATGATTAGCATCTTAAAGACCCAGTAATCCCATTTAAGTATATGGTGTAAAAACAACCCCACACCCAAATCTCCAGTGCTGCAGTACTGCAAAAGTGAAGACCATTTATGATTATTGAGTAATTTGCCAACATTAAAGGCAAGGCTTCAACCAAAAAGGAGAACCTTATCAGCTCCTGCAGAGGTCCTCAGCCTGTCACCAATCCTACTAAGTGAAAAATAGCCAATACAGCAAATCAAAGCAGAAAGTACTGGAGCTAGACTGTCATTAGAAAAACAACTCTCAGTATGACTTCACTGTCTCTTCTTGTCTGAAATGACAGTACGTGGAACAAGAGACAGTTGCAATGGAAGCATTCTACCTATCTCATTACCTATTCACTATACCATAACTTCAACACAGTCCTTGGCAGGACAGTAGGGACATCTTGGCCACAGTGTCTTCACCACAATAGGAATAGGGCAAAGCCCTGGGGCAGCTTTTAAACAGGATTTCTTACAAAATTGCCCGTAGCTTTTTGTTGGTTTTGTCTTTCTCCATAAGATGCCTCTTTCTCTTTCTCAGGCTGAGGAACATCCGATATGCATTCAACACCACCCTCCTTGTGATCATCTGGCGCATTTTCATTGCAAGGTCACAGATGGCTCGAAACATCTGGTACTTTGTGGTGAGCCTCTGCTACAAGTTCCTTTCCTACTTCAGGGCGTCCAGCACCCTCAGGCACTGAAGCCACCCATCAGCAACTGGTCTCTTCCAGAAGGACCACCATCTCCTCTAATCAGCAACTATGGGCATTGGGGTCTGAAAGTAGCAGAAAAATCCACTCCCTCCAACAGCAGCCTGCATTTATTGTGCACTGTTATATGTTCACCTTTTTAATTTTAACTAATGCTTTAATACATGGTGGTCTTTCTTCCATAGGACCAGGCCAATTTTTAAAGCCATAACCGAAGCTTTAGGAACAGGTCAAGCTGGAACCATTCATCTAGAGTCTGACATGTAAGAGTAATGATTAACCAAAGTCATTGTCTTCCCGTGTACTACCTAGGCTATCTTAATCCCATCTTCTTCCTCAAAAGAGGCAAATTTAAAGCATACAACCTTGGAAGAAAAGGATGCCATCAAAGACGACCCCGCCAAGGTTATTAACTTGTAAGAGGTTTTCCTAAAGAGGCCATTCATTCATTCTCATTCAGTGAAATGGTACTTAATGAAAAACTTGATTTCACTTGTTCAGTTTTCAGAACTTAAAGGAGGAAAAAGATCAGTTACACTAGGCCACTGAACACACTGAACATTTTTCAGGTCTTGTCTTAGATTGCTACTGAGGACTGATACTTTCAAGCCATAACTGAAGACGTGCATAGAATTCAAGTACCTACTCACACACACTGCTTTCTTATGGAGAGGTATTTTTTTCTCTCTGTGGTTAAGTTTCCAGTCTATTAAAATGCCCCGTTCTTGAATTTATCACATTTGCTTGAAAAATGCTCAATTTACCTGAGAATGAAGAGAAGACTTCTTAAAAGATAGAAGAATTGAGAAACTCTTTAATATTGTTGGAGAACAGGTCTTTTTCCTCCTTCAAGTTGTCTGCAGAAAACTTCTTTCCCTGTAGCTCAAAACCAGCCTGATCCTAAACTGTCCTTCAAGCTTTCGTTAGAGCTAAACCACTTTGCAGTTGAGCACTTCCACTGGCAGAGAAAGTGTGAAAACATGTGTGAAGGAAATCCCATCAGGCCAGTTCTACTGCTACTCCTGTAGGTAGGAATTAAAAAGTCTGAAACTTGTTTTCATTGAAAATAGGAAAGGTTTCATTGACTTCTGTGTAAAAACAATCATGCACTGTGAAGGTAATACGTTTTGTCCTACATTGCAGTTTAGAAAGGAACCCAAGGATCTTCCTAACACTCATGACTATTGGAGATAGTTGTTTCACCGAGTGAAGTACGAATTCCTCTGAAGGGAGAGAGAAAGAGAGAGCGCTGTAGCTGGTGCAACAATGGCCTTAGTGCAACAGCAACAGATTCATCATGCTATCAGATTTCCAAAGTCAAATCTAATACTGGAATATTTTTTATTCAGATAACACTGAATAAGCACTTTAAGATTACCAGACTTTAAAGCAACTAGTTTTTGAAACAATGCAGCATCCAGTTTCTCTAGTCTTGTGTCATGCTAGCTGTCTGAAAAGGGGACGCTGCATCACAAAAAAAAAAAAAAAAAAAAAAAAAAAGACACAGTTGCTCTTTTGAGGGCTGAGAATAGCAGAGTATTTACAAAGCTGGCATTCTTCAAAAATTATACTTGTTTTTGTCAGGGCAGGAACAAGTTAGGATGACAGTATATTTATATCCTAGGTCTCCAAGCTAGTTCAAAAGTCTTTCTAAAGGTGCAAGGAATTTATCTTCCCCCTCCTGCTCCAGAGGTCTACTTTCAAGTAGTTGCCAAAGGATACCTGCAGCAGAACCTGACCAGAGAAACCGTGTCCCAGATGGCAGGGCTCTGGCATTCCCTAGCAAAGGCCCCTTCGTTTGTCACAAATTACTTCTGATCTATGCTCAATTAGGTCAAGTACCCAGTTTACAAAGATGCAAATTTTTTAAGCTCTTGCCTTGAAAACATAACTTTCCAAGTGGAGCTGTGCTGGTTGTTAGCTACACTTCCAACTGCAGAAGCTGGCAGAGCGTGCTGTGCATCGCCTGTTAGCAAGTATCACTGCGTGAGAAACTAGGAGCTATGGGTTTGGGTGCTGGGGACCAGATATTTCACATACAGCGCTTCCGCAGCAGTGTATATGGTGAAGGTCAGCTGCGTTACACTCGGCTAGGCGGAGATCGTGGCTAACTTGGCGAAGCGAGGCAGGTGGGTCTAAGGCTTCCTCTAGGAAGGCTGTGTTCCCTCAAGTAAATAATCAGGTCATCAGCCAGCTGCCAGTCTTCTCATTTGAAAGGCTAAAAAACAAAACCAAACTGCAGATGATTTTGAAAAAAATAAAAAAAACTTCATTAAAAAAAGGAGGTAAGAAATTTAACTCCTATCCCAGATGTCTTTTTACGCGCCTGCCTTATATACAAAGAGAAGAGGTCACTAAGAGGGTCAGAAGTCTTCTGCTGTGCACAAAAGCCACAAACTTGAGTCTCGCAGAAAAGTGAAATACTGCAGACCTGCTACACCTACAACAGCTGACTGATGAAGACCAGACCTACTATGAGTAAAGTCCCCTGCCTTCCCTTCCCCGATGCTGGTCATGCCACGCAGGCCCCACATACACCTCCAGGGATTCACAGTGATTTGCACAGTCCCAACAGGTCTGAGATGTATCTTTTCTCACCATGCGCATATCCCAACCTGGTTTTGTGCACATGCAAAAAAGATGCTTCAGGTTTTAGTCAGAACAATGGTGGCATCACGCTCTTCTTAACACAGATATATAACATGCAGTAAAACCTGGAATCTTTAATTCGTTTCTCGTGGCTTGAGATGTTTTCAGGTGGTTGCCTGAACTACAGAAATATTTCAGAAAAACCTCAATGGTGAGACTGACACATGGCAATGGCCTTTGGGTGCTAGTTGTGACCGTCATCATGGAAAGCTGGACGTGGCAGGAGAACTTGTTCTCACCTCAAGCAATGACTTACCTTTGATCTTTTACTGTGTGCTCCTTGGGGTATGTGAATTTGCTCTGAAGAAACCCAAGTTTTGGGGAAAAGAACTGAAAGGAGACACCAAGTGACAGCCACTTCATTTCTTCCCTGTTCTAGCCCTTGCTCTTTCGTCTATTCTCACAAGCTTTGGACAAAAGAAAAGCCAAATACAGTTGTTAGTTAAATCAGAGCTCCTGTGGCAACCGTGCACAAATTAACATGAACAATTCAGGAGTGGATATTACTTGTGGCTAAACGCTGGAACTTTTAGTACCTGTAAGGTTGAAGCTTTTTTGGTTTGTGGTGGGTTTTTTTTTTTTTTCCCCTACAGAGGTAGCACAGTTAGTGCTGTGGGGAGGAGAGAAGAGCAGGAGGAGGATTCCTGCAGCCTCTGCTCATAGCCAACAGAAGCATTCCCAGGCACAGAGCATCCAGCTCAACTGAGCAAAGAGAGACTCAAGGGATCAGGGACAGATGAGCTGCCAAAACTCAGAGGACTCTGCCTCTCCAGGAGTAGGGGAAGAGCTCCATCAGCACTTTGTTATCAGTTTGGTTTCTCGTAATGAAACGTGTGAACTAAAAGGCTCCTCTCTCCTTCCCCCAGCCACCAACAGGCAGCATCAGAGAACAATAGCAGCAGTCGTTCTGCACAGAGGGCAAAAGAAAATATCTGCCACAAGACAGTATAATGGGATTATCCTCTGTAATTGTTTGTACCCCATGAATCTGCCTTGCTGCTACAGAAATAACATGGACCTGCCGTAGGGTTTTGTTGATGCTATGCACATACACTAGTCTGCAGGCTCTAGCTATGAACTGCTGGGCGAAAGCAATGAAACGCTGAATATCATTTTGCTGGCAAAAAGCAATGGGCATAAGCTTGCAATTGAGAAATATCTCTTCTTTTTTTTTTTTTTTTTTTAAATTGCCATCACAAAAAAAACCCCAAACCAAATCCCTAAAATTAATATGAGTTCAAACTGCCTTTTGACTGACAACCAAAGCTGTTTATCTCCAGCAAGTCTGTTAGCAAAAAATAAAAATTCTCACCCCTCCACCCTCTATCTCAATAACTTTGTTAAGAAAATACAATTCTTTTTTGGTAGAGGTGGGAGGGTGATAGAAGTACTGGTTTATTACAGGTTGTTGGCACATTACCCACCTCCTCAATAAATTTCTTTTTTTACATTTTTCTCAGAAAACATGATTATACGTGCCCGTGTGTGCAGTTACATCCTTCACCACCAGTCTTCTCATGCAACATACAGAGATGGTAAAAATAGCGGAGCTCATAATGAAATGCCAGGCCGTGCTTGTTTGGTATGCACTGTTCCCATTCAGTTTAAGGCAATGTGACTAAAACCTACCCTACTTTCCTGTGTAAAAGGGAACCTGACCTGTAGTATTATTATTAATCCAATCCTCATCACAAATAAGCAACTGGGAAAAGAGGGAGGGGGGCATTCTTTTGTTTGTAAATAAGCTACAGCTTCATGGTCCAAAAAGCATGCTGTTGCTCTTCCAGCGTTGACGTCCTACCGCAGAAAGCAAGGATGAACTTTTATTACAATTGGACCCTTTATGCTAGTGCAGAGTAAATAACACACTCTACATTCCCCAGAAGCTAAATGGTGAATATCCCATTACATGGTGCTAAATATCGGTATGAAGGTGGTACAGATTTACTTAAGAGAATTAAAAACAAAAAAATAGGCGTATTTGGGGAATAATTCAAGATGTACTATCCCACTTTTCTCTATTGCTTAGAAGTCAACTATGAATTGAGTTGGTTTGTTCAGATTAACACGAAACTACTTGTAAAAGGTTTCTTGTTCTTAAATAATCTTGGCAAACCCCCAGTTTATAGTAAAATATGTACTCTCCCACTGTCCAAAGTTTATATGGTTCTATCTGCTATTTCTATTCTCTTGTTAGCTATGAGACAACTTACTGTTATAAATCTTAATTACAAAGTTTCTAATGTTAAGGTGTAATCTTTTGAGTTTTCAAATCAGATAAAATGGTAAAGTCACAAATTATGAGAACCTCAGCCATAAAATTGTTAATATGATGTTTATGTTATTTTAAACATTTAATAAAACAAAATATTTTAAAACTATGGTTCGCTTTGTGTCGTGTTTAAGCTGCTAAAGGAGAGGGGCACTGCAGTTCAGCACAGGCTGCATCTGGACCACATCTGGACCACAGCTGCCACTGCCCCAGCCTGCCTGGGATGGCAGCCCCACCTGCAGGCAGCTGCCAGCACAAGGACATGCTGCACAACAAGGAGAGGGAAAATCAAGGAGGGGGGAAAAATCCCAATTTTTTATAAGTAATGCCGGTGAGAGTTTAACCCAGATACGTATGACCTGGAAGGGTCCATCTCTGATAAGTGTCTTCCAGAAGGTGAGAGGGACAGGGCTTCATCGAGGACAAATTGGTAATAACCCAACCAACTTCCTCAACAACATATCATTTGCACCCAAATACTTTGTTTTTTCAAGACAAGGACTTTATTTTACACTTGGGGTTAACACCATAATGCTCTTCTGTCATAAAAAGTTTTTAAAGTGCAGAGAAATACGGTATGCTTTCACCTCAGGACCACGTAGCAATAAATGTTTAAGGATATTATTGCAGAAGCAGGTGTGGGGAAGGAAATAATCGTAATTTATGCGTGTTTCCAACATAATTGGAATTCCAACATAATTCCAAAATACTACTCCAGGCTTTTGGGTAAGCTCTTAATCTAGGATTGCCAAGGACATTCTAACTCCATGACAAATACTTCACTGCACTTCAAATGATGTCTCCAAGGCCATTTGGAGGCAGAGGCACAGTAAGATAATGAAATCACCTTGAATAGCAGGGCTAACTGCAGAGTTTGTTGGTTGGTTGTTTTACAGGTAGAGCAGTTCTTACGTTTTCCTGTTCTGGGGGAAAAAAAAAAGCCAACACCAAAGTATCTTTCTTGCTGAAATAAAATCTTCACAGTTGGGAACTTCAATAGTCAAAAATCTCCAGCTGCCAAAGCAAAGACACTGTCTCAAGGCACTCAGGCACTCCGTCAGTGTATTTGTAGATAAAGACAATGCCACATCCCTCAGGGGACTCCTCTATCAAATCTTCAGGGAAAAAAAAACCAACTTGTGCTTATATTTTAACATTAAAGCCTTAGTCTAGTAAACAGTTCTAGTTATCTGCATTGAAAGAGCCTGAAATAAAAACATTTCTGTTCCCTCGACAGATGCAGCAACTCTGTTTTCAAATGCACGTGCAGAGCCAAACCTACCACCACCTCCAGGAGCTCGGCTCATTCCCCAGCACTTCATGGAGATTCAGTGTAGACAGATTATCCGAGCTTCTTCCAGCGCTCAGCAGGAGCACAGCGGGATCAGTCACCCCGAACGCTGAGCACAAACTGTAATTATCCCGTTTTAATTCCAGTGACTGTGATTCCGTGCAATATTCTCATTTTCAGAAAGTTTGAATCTTATACATATACACATGTATATATGCCTAGATGCAAACGTATATAATAATGTATCTATTATATGTATGCCTCAAGACAGGAGTGGTCAAAATACTTGGCATTTCTATATCTATGGATGAGCATATGAGTGCACAGAGACACACACACACAACATTTAGGAAGGCAGGGGAAGAAGACAGACCTAATCTCCATAGGGTCAAATCCCCACATAGCTGTATTTCTGTAAAGGGAGGGGAGCGGATTTTACCAGTGGTTGCCATTACAATTAAGAGTTACTGGAGTAAGCATGCTGTAAACATTGACACGCTACGTACTGGATATGTAATTACTGGATGTAAAGGGAAAGTAATTTAACAGAAAAAAAAAACAAAAACAGAAAAAGTAGCCAGAGCTGCCTTAATTTCAGTATGGAGGTAAGCCATGCTTTACCTAATTTTTAAAAGCATACATACTCAGTGACCAAAACTTTAGGCTCTGTTTTTTTCAGACATTGTTTTGAACGCTAGAATGCCTTTCAAAAATGTCTGTTGTTAAATTCCAAGGGGGCTGTGAGGGACCAACACTTGGAGGTGATAGATGTGGATGGATTAGTATTTTTCAGTTTCTGCCCAACACTATTCAAGATAAAAACATTTCATTATCATAAAATAAAAAAAAAAACCAAACCCTTACAAATTTGTTATTTCTCAAAAGGATCGTTTATCAAAAAGCAAACCATGAAATACTTTCATCATATATTATTGATAAAAATGCTTTTGTCAAGAGTCATAAATCGCTTTAATAATTTCTTTCCAAAAAATCATATTTGTTGTAGAATGTTCGTCATCTTAGTCTTATTTTACCAAACCACAAATACATTTTCCTTTAAATTTCTCCAAAAGGCATTTAAAAAAAAAATAATTGAAAAACTAAAAATACCTTGATAAAAAGCAAAACGATAAACAACCAGACCAACACTGAAAAGAAAGGCATGAGGACTGAGGTGGTATTTAGAAGGTATGACTAATTCTGGATGAGAAGTCTTTCTTCCTACCATATAAACAATCGTGCAAGCAGCCTGTTATTCATCATCTGTTGGCCAGCTTCTCCTAAACACTGTGGTAGAAGTGGTCTCATGGGACATACAGCACGCAGAGGGCCGGCAAATGCAGATAGCAACACCTCTTCAATGACACAAGCTACACAGACATAAACCACCTTGTGTCTGTGTGTTGCATAGATGTGTATGTATATACGTACTAAAAAAAAAATACATGGGTGCCACAGATTCTGCAGGTCTAATCCACTGCTGCAGGCAAGAGAACTTGGCTCACAACACCACTAGGGCCAAGTCCACACCCTTATGTTTGTTGAAGGCACCTTTTTGCCAATACAGCCAGTTTGGCACTGCCAACCCCAGCAATAGTTCTGCTGCACCAACTTCACATTCTTTGCATTCTTCTGGAAGTCATGCAGCTCCCAAATTTCCTCCCTTCTCCTAATCTGCACTTTCTCCCCAGCCCACAACACACCTCTTGACAATGTTTTGATTATAAATCTATCATAAGAACAACTTCTGTATCAGAGAAGAGGAAGAAAAAGAGGATGGTCCAGAGAGGCCCTTAGGTGTCTGTGGACCAAGATTAGAAGGAAACTGTGTAACCACAGCTTCACTGTGAGAGGAAAGAAGGCTGAGGTTGACATTTCTCAGTTCCTACATATCCACTCAATGGTCCATAGCTGTTTAATGTAGGGTAAAGCAAAAGTAGAGGAAAGGAGAAAAAGAAAAGGGGAGCTGCCCCCAATTGGCACTGAAGGACTCCAAAAAAAGGTATGGCTTTGTCTCAATCTTTGCATAAGCTTTGTGCTACTGCTACAGCCACCTCAACCTTATTCCAGTCTCACCTAACAGCAGTTTATCATAAGAAACAAGATCTGACCCACGCTATTCAGATTAGAAAGAAATATTTTTTCATTCTTCTTTTCAAATTAATGGCGCTCTTCGTGGCATTTGGTATTGACTTTATAATGATGCTCTTTCATCAGAATGGCATTTTGGGAGGCTCGCTCTAGGCTTTGTAAGATTTATACTATGTGTTCTAGTCCAATAAGAAAACAGAAGGATGTTGAGGGGTTTTTGTTTGTTTGTCTCTGGGTTCTGTTTGTTTTTAGTGAATAAATAGTGGATAAGCCTTTCAGCCCTAGTAGTTTTGAAAATTAAGGCCAGAGAATGCACCTCATGATGTTGGTCTTCTGTAAAGCAAGAATAGATAATGACTAGCGATCATCTCTCCTTGCAATACAGCAAAGAGTTTAATGAGAGAAGGAGTCACAGCATTATGATGAGCCTTTCTTTAATGAAAATAATTTCAAAACCTGAAACTGGGGGCATACATCAAGACATCATTTTCATTTTGTTAGCAAATATTTTCTTAAAATATCGTTTTCCATTTTTATGTAAATGTGATCTTTAGGGAGAAAAAAAAAAAACATCTATTTTCCATTAAAATGCATCAGTGAATTAAAGCGATCAACAAGAAAGTTCAAATTCATTGTAAAGAACAAAGACTTAAAGGTCAACCTGCAGATTTCAATATTTAAAGTTTTTCTTCTGACATTCTGATGACATAGTATTATCAAGCCAAGTAATCAATTAAATAAAGCAGGGAAACTCTATCACTATTCATTTTCTAAGTGAAGCAAATCAGGGAGGAGGAAAACGATGTAATAATGTAGGACAACCAACCCTTAGCTGATACACCATAGCTTAGATGACAGAATAAGGTCCAGGCCTCAAGGGAAGGGATCTCAGCCAATTGTCCCCATCTCCCTTGACTAAGGACAACCAGAAGTTACTTAAGAATAGACCTCACAGGTCTCACTTTGTAACTGCCTGAAACAGGATTATTTGACTCTGGGAAGCACAATGGCATGGGGATAAAGTGGATTTCTGGACTCTGTCATTCACACCCTACCTACTAAATTGGAAACCAAAGCAAAGGAAACAATGGCTGCCTGCAGGTCAGTTGAATGTCCCATTCAGAGCCAGGAGAGGGCCACACACTGATCCCTTTCTCTTGCTAGAAGTGACCTGATGATACAAACTCCCTGCACTGCTATCTCAGAGGTGACTTCCAGGGAAACAACACACACTCTACTGCTAATCATGTAAGTAAGCTTCAGACCCAGATGTAAAAGCCACATCAAAGAAACGCACCTTCTATAAAAATTACCCAGAATGCAGTTTAGGCAAGAGAGCATCAAGGCAGTAACTCTGAAGGTGCCTTTGAAAAGCCACCTAGTAATGATTCCCTTAGGCCGCCAAAACAAAACACTACAGGGAATAACACACCAAATCACCTCTAACACCATTATTCTGCATCCCTACGCACTGGCCTTGTCTATGTCCCCATACATGTTCAGGTACCACTGAGGAAGAGGAGGGAGTGGAAAAAAGAACATCCTAGATGAAGGTCCGCTGACAGGGCTTGCTGTGATACAAGTGACAGTCTACCTGCACAGAGCTCGGTCTGCACATAACTCAATTCAGGGCCAGGGAAGAAAGTAACTTTTAAACCCATTCCACCCTTTCCCTATTTTCCCTGAACAGGGTATGCAGAGAGCTTTGCAGAGGACTCTCAAGAGAA